ATCAAAACTCATCTGAATAGTGAACAATCAACACTCTGTCCTCAAACACAAGAAAATGGTCACGCTTGCTCAAAAGTGTTCGTTGACATCTAACATGCATAAGCCTTATCTCTCTTCTGAAATATTCCTTTCAACACTGAGCACCGGGTCAACCCCCGACCCCACAGTTGAATCTCCAAAGGTTACCCATTGCATACCTCAAAACATCTCACTGACTCCTTTATCACATTAACTACCTCGGCCCAGTGCGACACACAAGTCATGGAGAGTCTCACCCTTGACCTATGTCGTCTATTGCTCATTAGCTCCATATGTCTCGCGGTCATTTACATACAATCGAACTGACCCACACAGGACTAAGACATCAAATGACACACAATACCCCTTAAATGGAATCCACATCTAAGTACAAAATCTCATCGAAACTTCTCAATACACCACCAGAGCCAAACTCAAACTCGAGAGTCTGGTCCGACATAGAAGTGGAACCGCTCGTCCCCAATGAAGCACTCAACTCATGACCCATGACCCGCAACCCACGTGTGCATCACTTCTCCAATTCATTTCGATTGCGATAACCACAACTTAATTCAGAATATAACGATTCCCGACAAATATGGAGACCCTAGTCTCCCCCCTGGTCCGACCACCAGGTTCCCAAAACTCAAAGAATAAGGCTACCCAAGTCCAAAAACTCTTCCGCGTCATGCTCTGACTAGCGAATACTATGGCTCCCCGTAGTATCATAACATTCCCTCTCACTAACCCGTGAAGGCTATGACTCCCTTCAGGCCTACGATACTCTCGCACTGACTCATGAATACTATGCCTCCCTGCAATATCATAACACTATCTCGCTGACTGGTGAATACGACGACTCCACGTAGTACCACAACACTCTCTTTCACTGACTCGCTATGGGGCTCACTCCATGGTTTTCCCCTGATAATCTGAAGTGATTACTCCCGCTCGAATCCACTCACCCTCTTATCACCCCGTAGTCTCCTCCTCGAGTCATCACCCCCACTGAGTTCACTATCAAATACTCCACGACTTAACATAGATAGGTACACACACCAACCCAGATTAAGCATCACCACTCCTGATGACAACCGTCGTGACCAACACTTTTTTTTCTTGCTGCAACTCACATTCTTGGGTACTCCCGTTTGATGAAAATTAGCTGAAGAGCTCACGTTGGAACCATAGTCACTTGCTACTCCACTTGCCATCTCATAACTCAAGTCTCAAATAATCTGAACTTCAGGGAATCATACTTAAATACCTCGGTACATCATCATAGAACCTCATGATGTCTTGTTTCAACCACTAATCTCTACTTACGTCATCGTACTCAGATACCACAATGCATCCTTTCAGAATCCCACATCTGATCTTCCTCTCACACAACTCGTATCTTCGGAATATTCCAAATCTCAATTGAAACACGGAGGAATCGTCAATGACTCAGAACACGTTGACGACAATCCGAAACTCTCTCCTCTATTGATCAAAACTCATGCAGGAATACTCATACCGAACCTGAAGTTGGTTGCCCAATCAACTTCTACCCTTCCCAAAGTGCATATAACAACCCATACATGGAACCATAAATTCTTAACCGCCAAAACTATCTTTACGGGCCAACCACCTTAAATCTACCATTACAACCTCGAAGAATTCCTAACCACCACAAGGACTCCGACCAACGGCCACCTGCCGTGAAGACACTTATCCTTTCCTGAACACGTACAACATGCGTTATCTCACTTTGCACCTCGCCTCGACCACCAATAACCCTGGTCTCATGTATCTGTACCGTAGGTCTCTATATCCAGTTCTCTAACCACTCTTGAACAAATCTCTGATACTCCCAAGCTTTGAAACCACTGACTTTGAGTATTCAACCAAACCCCATGAAACTTCCTTTTGTAATATTGAAAAAAAATCAAACCTAACCTTATTTGGTTGCATGATCCATTCATCATCAATATGTATTCCTTTTTATAGTCTTGTGTCGCCTCTTATTCTTCAAAATTCAATGAAAAAACTTCATATTTTGATCTCCTTTCATGGGTTATTTAATTTTACATTTTAAGCCAAATCACTACATTCAATCTTGTTCATTATATACAACTGATCAAAAGCTTTTTTTCCTCTCCATTTATAACTCTATGAACTGAGCCTAGCTTCCAAAAGTTTATCAATCTCCATTAATATGTTTTCAATCATCGTTTTGTCGATCTTTTATAAATCAAGAAACCCAACCTTAACTCTCTACCCACCAACTTCCTTTATTTTTCTCTTAAGAGACATATATGATGTCAACCACCACCAAACTCTTCTTTCTCTCTAAGGACTAACCACCATCAACCTTATTCTACCTATCGTTGTTGTGCTACCATCATTCTTCCCTCCTCATTTACCCTGTCCACAACGCTACCTACACAAAGTCACCCCTCCACAACCTCCTCCCTCGTAACATGTCTCAGTCAGAAACATCATCACCACATATTAAGGTTTTTTTTTGTGCAATTTAGGGCTTTCACATAAGCACTACCACCACATATATCCCATAATTAAACACTTAGTAAGCGTTTTCGTTCGATTTTCAGACCATGTAGATATATGTGTGTTGAAGACCAAAAACTATGTCCAAACTAGGTGAATGTATCGGTTTAGAAAGGGTTTTCTAGATTTTTTTAGATGAAGGGTTTGTTGGTTTTAGACATCTTGAGGTTTTTTTTTTTTTTTTTTTTTTTTTTTTTTTTTTTGAAGTGGTTTCTAGGTTTTTATAAATTTGGAGCATTTTCAAAGGGATTTATAGGTTGTTATATTTGGTTTTATGTGTTTCCTGGATTTGATTGTTATTATGTGTTTGAATGCGTGTTGTGTGTTTTGGTTTTAATCATGAACACTCATTCTAATGGGTGATGATGATGGTGGTGGTAGTGATGGTTGTGTGGAACCATGGTGATGACATTGGACTGTGACGGTGTTGCTGTTGGAGGTAGGGCATTTTTGATTAAATAAAATATAAATTATTGTCAAAATTAAATAAAATAATAAAGAGAAAAAGTCTTTCAATCATGTAATTTTGTAATTAATAAATAAATAAATAAATAAAAAGACAATTGTTCATTTAATTCAATTAGTTTAAAGTTTTGTTGGGAAGGGTGTTGATACATATGTTATGAAATAAAGCCCTTCCATTTTAATTCTCTTCCTCAACATGCAACATTCGCCCTCTGTGAGCAAAGGAACAGATCACATCGCTTCCCGCGTACAAGAACCCTAATTTTAATCAATTCTCCAGATTCTGTGTAAAACCCTACAACTATTTTGACATTCAATTTCTGGGTTTTGTTTTTTCTACAAAAAATCGTGAAAAAATGACCCAACTGAAGCCCATTCTCTCTCACGTCGATAACATCCCGTCGGCCGGAAAATTCAAACCGGACAAATCATCTCTTTACTACATCCACCATCGTCTCCGTTACCAAACTTCTCTCCCCAAACTTACAATTTGGTCGACCATTTTTCTCTCATTGATCGTTTTTTTCTTCTTCTTATCCCCTCCTGCCACCCCCGCCCCTCGCCGTGGCCTCCGTACAACCACTTCCTACGGCGGATCAGGATGGGAGAGCCGAATCAAGCTATCTGCTAAACCCCGTTCCGGCACTGGTCATACAGTCCTTGTTACAGGCGCCGCCGGTTTCATCGGCGCTCATGCTTCGGTTGCTCTTAAACGGCGTGGAGACGGTGTGGTTGGACTCGATAACTTCAATCATTACTACGACATCACCCTAAAAAAATCACGGAAATCGAAACTCCTGGACCGCGCCGGTGTGTTCGTCGTTGAAGGTGACATCAACGACGTAGTTTTGCTCCGGAAACTCTTCGGTTTAGTGCACTTCACTCACGTCCTCCACCTCGCTGCACAGGCCGGCGTAAGGTACGCAATGGTAAATCCCAATTCATACATCAGATCCAACATAGATGGCCTCGTTAACCTCCTAGAAGTTGTGAAATCGTCGATCGCGCAACCGGCAATCGTCTGGGCATCTTCCAGTTCGGTTTACGGCCTCAATTCAAAAGTATCCTTCTCGGAAAAAGACCGAACAGATCAACCGGCGAGCCTTTACGCCGCCACGAAGAAAGCCGGTGAGGAAATCGCCCATGCTTACAATCATATCTACGGTCTATCTATCACTGGTTTGCGATTTTTCACTGTTTATGGACCTTGGGGTAGACCTGACATGGCATATTTCTTTTTCACCAAAGATATCTTGAATCGAAAGCAGATTTCTATCTTTGAAGGGCCTAATCATGGAACTATCGCTAGGGATTTCACCTACATTGATGACATTGTAAAGGGTTGTTTATCAGCAATAGACACAGCAAAAAAGAGCACCGGAAATGGAGGGAAGAAGAAGGGTGAAGCTCAATTCAGGATCATTAATTTGGGGAATACTTCCCCTGTTTCAGTTCATAAGTTAGTAAGCATTTTGGAGAAGTTGTTGAAGGTGAAAGCTAAGAAGAAGGTGGTGTTGATGCCTAGAAATGGGGATGTGCCAATAACGCATGCCAATATAAGCTTGGCACGTATGGAGCTTGGGTATAAACGCACCATGGATTTGGAGATGGGATTGAAGAAATTTGTTAAATGGTATCTTGATTATTATGATGTTAAGAAGAAGAGTTCTTGGTGAAGTGAAGAAAACCAGGTTTACATATAAACCTTTTTTCAGTAATAATCTTTATGATCAATGCTACTTTTTAAAACTACTAAATGGTTTGTAGGTTCGAGATTAAACATTAACATGACTGTGTTCTTTTACATCTTTCTAGTTTCCCTCGAAATAACTTAGCAGTGGAAGAATATGGATTGATGTATCGGGTTTAGATTGATGATTATACGATAATGACAAGTTATTTAGAGAATAATAGTTGAATACTATACTTTAAATGTATAAAATAATGTGTCTTGTGATTGCTGTAATCATCATAGAAAGAGGAGCCATGCGAGTCTGGTTCTCTGTTTTTTATTTATGAAAGTTGTTGGGATTCCATTCATTCCATTGTGGATTTGGATTTTCTTTAGGTAAATTGTTTGGTGAATCTCATTCACTCATTAATGTTAAACCGAATGATTTCCACCTTTTAACAGTTAAAAGATGGTAAGATTGTTCAGTGGTTGGCTTTTGATTCATTCAGAGGTGATTTTTATGTCACTTCTTAGTGGTTTTGTGTAGAGATTATCAAACAACCTCTAAGATAAATAAAAATGATACATTTTTAGCTTAAATAATTTGATCTAAAACATAATTTGGACTTCCAAACAAATTGTTCTCGTGTAAAATATAAATTACAAAAATTTTGGGACTTTATTTTAACTTTCAAAACTTTAAAATCAACACAGTTATTCGTATTTTGCAAAACTGGAAAATCAACACATTAGTTTTGAAAATTAATAAAAAAGAAAAAAGGAAAAAAAAAAATCCGAAAGTGAAAAGTAAATGTGGAGGACTTTGGCAATCGTTTATAGGACCAAGGTCGAGGCCTGAGCCGGCTACCATCCTGTCTACCACCTGCGTCCAAGGCAGGTCGACTTTGGAAGTAATAGCCAAAATTCAACACAATTTGTCAATTTCCACCTTATTTATACTTTTGGTCCTTCTACTTTCATGCTTCTTTCAGTTTCATCTCATACTGAGCTAACAAACCAATTCCAAACTAAAAGCTAACAAATTGACATAAGTTAGCCCTAAGCACAAATAAGCTTGATTTGAGAAGCATTATCCCCATGTCGAGTCTGCCCAAACTAATCGGGGTTAGCTTAAGCGCTCTCTCTAAACTGACTCTTTGCAGTGATAAGTCGATTTATATCTTTCTTGGGATGTAAATTGGTCTGGAATCGAAATAACTAAAAACCGATTAAGGAGTGAACGAGGAACCAATAACTAGATCGAATACCACTAATCGGTTCCAGTTCGGTTCTACTAGAAAGCGTGCTATCTAAAATGGTGATCGGTACTGAAACTGGAATTGAAAATAAAAAAATGATGAATTTGGGGAATCGAACCGAATACCACTAATCGATTCCAAACGGTTTAAAAAGTTCATACCTATATCGTTCTACATAAGTTTGCTACTTAGAGGTGTCACCGACTATGCCTCTTGACCCTTTAAATTGCTGGTGCTTAGTTCATACGTGTCATTCATCATTTTCAAGATCTAGTTCGTCTTATCGAATTGGGCTTTTCGTACCACTTGAGTTATACTAAATCATAGTAATCATAGTAACCTTTGACACTAGTATAAATTACATACCGAACAAAACAAACACTTGACTCCAAAATTATCAACAATAAATTAGTAAGAAATTTAACTTGTTACTTAAATCCTTGAAAACTTTAAATATGGTTAATAACTTATAAGGGTAATAAACTTTATCTCATATACATATTTAGTAGCATATTTTTTTACATATTTAGTTATTTGTTTTACTTTTCATTTTGGACATATGACCATAAAACCTTTTTTATTCATATATAATCACCAAATTTAATACTCATATTGTATAAAAACATAAGTGACTAAATATATATATAAAAAAATAATAATAAAAAAATTTAATTAAATATATACACAGTTAAATAGTTTATAAGTCAATAACCATTTGAAATAAAAACTATATAAATGGGTTGAGATAAATTGATAAGAACATATAAGTTCGATGTTTTTAAAAGTCATTAAGCCTAAAATATAAGCTCTAAATTGAAACTAAACCAAGGTATCTAAAAACAAAGGAAATACGTATATTCGTAAAAGAGGATTTTGAGTTTGGATGAAGAAAATTATATAAGAGAAATGGTGTGATGCAATTAGGTTTAAGGCTGTGCTTATCTGTCAGCCTGCTCTATAGTCTGTACATTAATCTTCGGGTACCCGATCACGTGGTTCAGCTTTTCCCTGCTCAATCATGTACACAAAAAGATTCTGCCAAGAAAAACGATGACCAAAACCCCAACCCCAACCCCAACCCACCTACGATCAACAATTAATAACATGAATCTCTCTGTTAATGGCCACCAATTTTAGTCACCCTCTTCACGATCATCATCAATTCCAGCAATGAAAGGCGGCTTTTCAGCGCCCGGTGATTACATCTACTTCAAGTCCCAAGTCCCTCTCCACAAGATCCCTGTAAGTTTTTCTTGTCTTAGATTCCGTCGATCTTTCACTTGATTATACATCTACTGACTTACCCAATTCGATAAACCACTGGTTTCGATTGTTACTTTCATTATGTCAAAACCCTATTTACAGTTTCGATTCAGCATCAATCGTTCGATGTTTACTCCCAATGAACCTAATATTATTAAAATTCACATTAAACTAGAGCTATACTTCAACTTTTGAGATTAAATTGGCTAATCTGCACCTTCCAATTGCTATATTACTTGCAAGCATTAAACTTTATCGCAAGTTCTGTAAACAGAAAAAATGTTGATATTAGGTTTTATATCCAAATTGATGTAAGAATAACATATATGGAGATTAATTTTGACATAAATTTTACAGATTGGCACAAAGCAATGGAGATATTATGATTTTGGCCCTAAAGTAGTGCCTCCATTGATATGTCTTCCTGGAACTGCTGGAACAGCAGATGTTTACTACAAACAAATCATGGCACTCTCCATGAAGGTAACAATAACATTGTTAAAGCAAAAAACCAAGTTGAAGGATTCTTTTTCATAACAAAGTTTTCAGAAATCTTTTTTTTTTTTTGTTTCTTTTTCAGGGTTATCGAGTGATTTCTGTTGATATTCCTCGTGTTTGGAACAATCAAGAATGGGTTCAAGCATTCGAGAAGTTTTTGGATGTTATTGATGTCCACCATGTAAGATTATCTGATTCCATTTTTGAGTTTATTGTTATTTATTTAAATCTAATGAATCTTTTTTTTTTTAACAGATACATCTTTATGGAACATCACTTGGTGGATTTTTAGCACTACTTTTTGCTCAACATAGACCAAGAAGAGTAAAATCTTTGGTCCTTTCCAATGCATTTTTGGATACAAAATATTTCTCGTCTGCAATGCCTTGGGCTCCTGTGTATGTATCATTAAAAAAAAGGGCACTTTCTTTTTTTTTTTGGACTGAATGAACTGTGAGTAAATGACGATTTTACCCTTGTGTAACATAACAGTGTAAGTTGGACCCCTTCTTTCCTGCTGAAACGGTATGTCCTAACAGGAATCCCGAATGGTCCACATGAACCATTTATTGCTGATTCTGTGGACTTTGTTGTTGCACAGGTGAGTTTTAAATCTAAAACTTGAATTATTTCCTAATGATTTTATAAAAGTTTAAAGTAATTATTATCTCATAATAAATATGTTAAAAATAAAAAACCTGCAGGTTGAGACCATGACAAGGGAGGATTTGGCTTCCAGATTGACTTTAACAAGTGATGCTGCATCAGTGGGACCCCTTCTGCTTTCCAATTCTTTAATCACTATTATGGATGTATGCTTCCACAACTCATAAGTCATAATCATATTACAAATAGCAACCTACTTTAATTTATTATTAATGATTTAAATGGGATGTGTGTTTTTATTTTATTTTTAAAGACAAATGATAAAGGTGCAACTCCTCGGGAACTTAAAGATGAAGTAAGTGAAAGGTTTCCGGAAGCAAGAAGAGCATTGATCAAAAGTGGTGGTGATTTTCCATTTCTTTCACGCCCAGATGAAGTTAATCTCCATCTTAATGTAAAAATTAAAAAATATATATATATATATATTCCACAACTTCTTTTTTTTTTATATAATTTTTATATATTTTGTCTCTTTTATAAGTTTTAATCAACATGGTGACAGTTACACCTGAGACGCGTCGGTGTAGAAGCTCGTGAAGACCTGGTTCCCGGAGTCCCAAAGGGCGGCGACAGTGGCAGCAATGGTGGTGGTGGTGGTGGTGATGGTGGTGGCTCGGGTGGACCAAAAGAAGATGGAGAAGAGGAGGGGGCCGAGCCCTGATGGACCTTCTGGTGAGGTGGCTCAGCCTGTAATTGGTCCGGAAAGCAATGTTTCCGGTGATGTAGACATTCAGGTGGTTGGCGGCACCACCACCGCCATGAGTGTCGGCTCTCTACCGCCGCTGATACTTGAAGCGTACTTGAAGCAATTGATGGTTGGGTGTTTGGTTGTTTATTGTCGGATTCCTGTTAGTTTGTTAACATTGTACATGAGGGATCAGGATTATTCTAAGATTCATTTGTTTGTGTAAATGGCGACTTTTTTGTTTGTAAAATATTGTTTGGTCCTAGTTTTTTATACAACATTTTTTGTTAAATTCAAGTTGAGTGTATTTTGTTCCTAAAAATCAAATTTCCAACTTTATGTTATAAATGTTTTGACTTCTCTTGCAGAATGTTATAGGGTAGGTAGGCTGGTGTTCATTCATGATATCTAAACACAAACACACATTAACACATGTTTAGATTATGTTTGACATTTTCGTCATTTAGCAAAGCATGTTTAGATCGATTTTTTTTCACTGGAATCCGATGTTAGTATAGGCCCCCAAATAAGCTTTCCGTGGATTGGGTATGGCAGAATGTACAAAAAAGAATTGCATACTATATTTTAAAACCAAATGACCTTATTAATAATATATTTTTGTGGTTTTAAACTTTGGTCACAAAGTACTTTTGCCACAAAACTTTTTTATATTGACAGATATGCTTCCTAAACTTTTGTATGTTGGTACTTTTCATTCTATACTTTGTAGAATATTATTTTTCATCCCTCCACTTTGTAAAATATCACTTTTCACCCCTCCACTTTGTAAAATATTTCACACCTTCAAATTTAAATAATGATATTTT